GACAAAGAACTGAGGGAGAGCTCAGGATTCTGAGCTCTTCTAATCAGCTGGAACGTGTATCGTTTACACGTGTCCCCAGCTGCCCACGGGTACAGTCTGCTCTAGTGCAGCCTGCCTTCCTCACACATAGTCACTGGTCCAACACCCCCGCATCCACACGCGGACCACTCACCCCTGAGCTGACATTCATCCCTTCACCCACCTGCAGCCCTTAGGAACCAGCGATAATAAATCAGACAACAGGGCCCAGCGCGATAGCGTAGTGGTTAAGGTCCTTGCCTTGAACGCACCGGGATCCCATATGGGTACTAGTTCTAACCCTGGCAGCTCCACTTCCCATCTGGCTCCCTGCTTTTGGCCTGGGAAAGCAGTCAAAGATGGCCCAGAGCATTGGGACCTGCACCCACGTGGGAGACCCGGAAAGAAGTTCCTGGCTCCTGGCTTCGGATCAGTGCAGCAAAGGTCGTTGCGGTCACTTGGGGAGTGAATCATCGGATGGAAGATCTTCCTCTCTGTCTCTCCTCCTCTCTGTACATCTGCCTTTCCAATAAAATGAATAAATTTTTAAAAATCAGACAACAGCCAGGGGGGCATTGTTGAACTAAACCCCATTCCTTGTTACAAACCAGCTTCATGGCTTCTGAGACTCAACGTCACACCTGCAGAGGAAAAACCCATGACCTTTGCAGTGCCTTCCACGGTCCTGCACATTGCCCAGTCTCTATTGTCTAATTTATACATCACGTGTCATGATTTGATTCGGTTAAGCAAGTTCCATTTCAATGCAATTATCCACTTGAGGGGGTGGGAGCTGAGGAAGGTTGAGAAGAGATTCACACAGACCAGAGGGAGACCATGTCTTTGGGACTGAAGGGGTCCCACTGCCTCACAGGCTCCATTTCAGGAACGATGTGGGCACTGAGGGTGAGCAAGGGCCGAAGGGGACATACTCACCTCGGTGTGCTTAGCAGCTGTGTGGACTTGGGGGCATGTCTTTCTCTTTACAGACTTCAGGCTTACTGAGGAGCAGGTGGGAGCAGACAGGCTGTAAGCACAAGTCCAACCCTTGTATACTGCGATTTTTGGAATGCTGGAAGACATTGACAATGCAAGGGTGCCTGACTTTAGGTTTGCCCCACCGACACAAGCTCAACTAACTGGACGGACACATAAGGATTCGCCAAGCTCCAGCTTTCAGTGCACTGTGGAATCTGAGGCCTCTTCCCCTTAATGTCTATATCAAATAGGCTGTATGGATGACTCCTGCGCACCATTGTCCCTCTTAGAGTTGTTGGTACTATAATACAAGCACAAAGGTTTGCTCTAGTGATTACAAACACTTAATATTCCTCCCAGGACCCTCGAGTTGCTCAGACACCTTATGCCTCCCTTTTGTGTTTCAAGACTTTCATTTGGAGCTGGCACTGTGGTATAGTACGCTATTTCTGTCTACTATGCTAGCATCCCATATGGGCATGGGTTCAAGTCCCAGCCACACCCATTCTCTTTTCATTAATCTTTTTTATTATGATTTTTACGTAGTTGATTAGGGTGATAAAGGTCAAAGGCTATAGGAAAGTGGCTGAGACCACAATTTCCACATTCTCTTTTTTTTCCTTCCTGTGTCTGGAAGAAGGGGAAAGGTAAGGAGAGAAGCCACATTCAGCTTCCCAAACGCCTCTGCACCCTGGGATGGAGGACAACCACCTGACACCATCCCAGGGTCCCCGATGTGGGGCATGCTCCAAGGGCACTGCTCAAGAGGTTTCGATAGTTCAACAGTTCTGTGTTGCTGCCAGTCTTGCTACTCCAAGCACGATGAAATCTCTCCAGAATCCACTGGCTGACATAGTCCAACTTAGAGTCTCCAATTGGCCAGATATTCGCTGCAAACACATGGCTGGGATAGTTGATTGATTTGTTCTGTCCTCCATCTTCTGTTATGGTACCAGGTGTCTTCTGCAGGCTCCAATGTACTGCCATGTCCTCCATGTGCAACTGGATATGCTGTCCACCGCTCTGTCTCAGCCACTGAGGAGGCCCAGCTCTGACCCAAGCACTCCATGATCAGACCATGGTTGGAGTTCTGAGTCCAGCAATTCAGTTAGAGGGATCCCCAAAGAAACTTTATCTGAGGTGATCCCAGACCTGATTCTTGTGTGTGCTTGCTCATATAGGGCCAGCACAGTCAGTTGCCCCAACCAGCTTATGCTGGTTGGTGATTCCAGTTGCTGGGTGAGTTCTGCCTCCAGCCCTGTCTTCTACACAAACCAATGGGTGTTGCTGCCCAGCCCAATCCTGCCCACCACACTCTTGGTCTTCACGTACTCCAGTGGGAGCTGTAACTTTGTTGGAGTGACCTGCAGTTGTTGGCCTTGGACCCACTCTCACTCCCGGATCTTGTGCTCTCTAGATGGTTCTGCAGATGAACTTGACAGAATTTGCTCCCCTCCCCCTGTGCCAGCATCCGACAGCTGATGCTGTGGCAAAGCCCAACCAATTTACACTCACTCTGACTGCTTGCACCAGAAGGATCCCAGCCTGGCATTTCCCTAATCCAGCTCACATGAGGCCAACAAGTGTTGCAACCCTGCCTGGCCTGGTCTGCCCCCATCCCAATTCACACTCTCCAGTAGGAGCGGTGGTCCAGCAGGGGAGCCCCTCGCAGCCCCCCTACCAGCTTCGCCACCTTCCCCCTTGGTCTCATGTGTGTTAGTTGGGTGCTGCAGTCTAGTCTGGCAAGGCCTGCCTCACCTTGGCCTTTGCCAGTGTGTGCTGTAGCCTAGCCAGGCCCAGCCCACTCCCAATCCCAGCTCACACTGGTGGGGGCTGCAGACTAGCCCAGCCCAGCTGGCCCCCAGTCCTGGTCCTCATGTGAATTGGGTTGTGTTGTGACCCAACCCAGCCCGACCCACACCCATACTTTATTCTGGTGCTTGGATTTACACCGGTGATATGAACTGGCCCAGCCTCGTTTGCCCCTAACCTGCACCAAATGTATGCTGGGGGTACCATTCCCTGGCCTGGCCTGGGCTGCTCCCTATTGTGCTTCTTGTGCTCACCTGCAGGGACTGTGTCATGACAGAGAAGATTCCCAAGCTCCTCCATCAGAACCTCCTCCAGTGCCAGATCTCGCACCCAGCAGTGGGTCCATGGGCCATCCCTACTTAGTCCACTTCCTGTCCTAGCTGGAACAGTGGTCTTTCCTGACTGGTCTTCACCCATTCTAGCCTAGTGTTACAGCCCAGCCCATCCTGGTCTACACCCATACACAGATCATACATGGCTCAGTGGTGACAGAGACCTAGCCTAGCCTGTCCTACACCTACCCTGCTTCTCACAAGCATCAGTGCTCGAATCTGGCCCAGTCTGGCACATCCCAGACCCAGTCCACACTTGTGCCGAGGGATATTGCAGCCATGTCCAGACCAGACAGCAACCCCTACTCTGGCCTTCACACTCACCAATGAGAACCACAACCCAGCCAGGGCATCTCCTTTGCTCCCCAACCAGGCCTGTTCCCAGCCATAGATCTTGCATGTGCCAGTGGTTGCTCTGACCCAGCTTGGCATAGTCCCTCCCCTTCTTGGCCTTTGCCTTTGGATGCTGTAGCTTGGCCTGACCCGGCCTGCCCCAAGTCCCAACTTTCACTGGCGGGTGCTGGGACCTGGCCCTCCCATCCCTGGCTCATGCAAACCAGTAGGCAGCCACAGCACTTCTAATCCAGCTCCTAGCTTATGGCCAGGGAAAACAGCAGAAGGTGACTCAAGTCCTTGGGCACATATACCCACGTGGGAGCCCCCGGAAGAGATTCCTTGTTCCTGGCTTTGAATTAGCTCAACCCCGGCTCTTATCGTTTGAGGAGTGAACCAGCGATGAAAGATTCTTCTCTCTGTCTGTCCTTCTTTCTGTGTAAATCTGCTTTTCCAAGAAAAATAAATAATTTTTTTTTAAATCCTCTACTCTCTTTTCAGGATTAAAGTATTAGAGAACTATATTGATGATTATCTGTAGGAAAAGAAAAAGAGGTAGTGTAACTAAGGATTTAGTTCTTAATCATTTTTTCAAAGAAATCTTTTTTTTTTTAAGATTTTTTTTATTGGAAATTCAGATATACAGAGAGAAGGAGAGACAGAGAAAGATCTTCCATTCCATGATTCACTCCCCAAGAGGCCACAATGGCCGGAGCTGAACCAGAACTGCGCCAATTCAAAACCAGGAGCCAGGAGCTTCTCCCAGGTCTCCCACTTGGGTGCAGGGTCCCAAGGCTTTGTACTTTCCTCGACTGCTTTCCCAGGCCACAAGTAGGGAACTGGATGGGAAGCGGCTGCTCCGCTATGGCCTGGGAAGGCATCAGAGCATGGTCCAAGTGCTTGGGACTCTGCACCCATATGGTAGAACCGGAAGAAGAAGCTCTGGGTGCCTGGTTTCATAGTGATTCAGTAGCTAGAAGATGCGCTCTCTCTCTCTCTCTCTCTCTCTCTCTCTCTCTCTCTCTCTCTCTCTCTCTCTCTCTATCGCCCCCTCTGTAACTCTTTTAATAAAATGAATAATTAGGAAAGGGAAGGGAAGGAAAAGGAAGGAAAGGAAAGGTTCTGAAAACCTGAGTTTAGGGGAGAGACTTGGGCCTCTCTCCCAAGGGCTTGGGCCTGGGTCTGTAAGGGAACCAGGCTAGGTGCTCAGGACTCCAGGTTTTGGCCGTGGTTACAACCTGGTTCTTGCTGTCAGTACCAACACAAGCTTTTGTGCACACCTTCGCCAGCCTGAAATCCGCTTCCAGCATCCCTGCCTGTAGCTTTGCTGGTTTTTGTTTGTTTTTTTTTGTTTTTTTCCCAAGATAAAACCAAGTCTTCTGCTCATCTTCCTCAACCAGGTTTGGTGGCACCCCCTGGTGGTCCCTTGGCTCAGGCCGGACTGGTGCAGATGGCCTTGGTTCCCTGTTGGCTGACCTAAATGAAGACTAAGAGGCGTGTCGCTCCAGAGTGTGTGGCTCCACACTGCAGCCATCAGAGAACACGTGAGGTGACGCCTGCTCCGGCTGATCGAGCAGAAGCATTGCCCCACCTCGCAGCTTGCATCCCATCTAGCTGTCAGCTTCACCTTGGGCAGACTACAACCATGAAGCTGCTTTTGCTGACTCTGGCTGCACTGCTGCTCTTGTCCCAACTCATTCCAGGTAACCTGGACCTCCTCTGGGGAAGGGGTAGGGTGTGGAGATGGAAGCCTGGCCAGGGAATCCCAGGGGTGGGCAGAACCAGCTGCGCAGCATCAGGAAGCCCTAGCCAGCAGTAGGAATCAAGCTTAGGTACCTAAGTACCAATTGCAACTGAGCTCTCGTTGAATCCCTCCAAGCTTCCTCACCTGCTCAGCGCCAGGGAGCAGGTGCACACAATCTGGTGCCTGAGGAAGAGAGAAAGGGGTGGGCACAGAAACAGGAAAGAGGAGAGGGTAATAGTGGCCCTGTTGGATTTCAGAATGATCTAGACAGCCACCCCAGTGGGAGGGTGAAGCTGACATATGCTGCTGCTGTCTGTGTCAGTCTGGCCAGAAACTGGGACCTGAGGCAGGTTACAACCCTGAGCTGGGAGAAGGTGAGGCCAGATCACCAGGCACTTGGGGGAGACTGAGGTCAGCAGTGATGGTGATGAGAAGGCCCCAGGCCTGAGGGAGGCGTGTAAGTTAGAAAGGGAGGTGATGGGCCCGGCACAGTGGCACATCAGGCTAATCTTCTCAGGGGTGCCAGCATCTCCTATCGCGCCAGTTTGTGTCCCGGATGCTCCACTTTCCATACAGCTTTCTGTTTATGGCCTGGGAAAACAGTGGAGGATGGCTCAAATCTTTGGAACCCTAGACCTATGCCGGGGACCCAAAGAAGCTCCTGGCTTCCGGCTTCAGATCAGCTCAGCTCGAGCTGTTGGGCCTTTGGGAGAATGAACCAGTGGATGTAATCTCTCCTTGTCTCCCTGAAAAAAAGAGGAAGGGAGGGAGGAGATGAGGTGAAAAGACAAAGGCTGTCCCAGGCAGCTGGCATCACGGTGCAAGTGCTTTCAGGAACCAACCACGTGAGAGATGTGGATTAAGGGACAGTAAGGGACAAAGGAAAGGAAGCCACCAAGGTCCAGGCCTTAATGGGACTTGAATGTCCCGGGGTGGGGGGAGCCATGGGAAAGCTTAAGCAGAGAATGGCCTTGGCTGACCCAGCCCTTCCACCAGCTCTGGGACTGGGTTCCTGCCCCCTCCTATCCCTCTTACAGAAGTGTCTGCCAAGCCCAAAAGCTGCTAAGAAATCTGTCCCCGCCATTTTCTTTCTTTCTTTCTTTCTTTCTTTCTTTCTTCCTTCCTTCCTTCCTTCCTTCCTTCCTTCCTTCCTTCCTTCCTTCCTTCCTTCCTTCCTTCCTTCCTTCCTTCCTTCCTTCCTTCCTTCCTTTCTTTCTCTCTCTCTCTCTTTCTTTAAGTTTTCTATTAATTTTTGTTTATTGGAAGGCATATCAGATTTGCAGAGAGAAAGCAAGACAGAGATCTTCCATCCACTAGTTCACTCCTCCAAGTGGCCATAGTGGCTGGAGCTGAGCTGATCTGAAGCCAGGAGCCAGGAGTTTCTTCCAGGTCTCCCATGCGGATGCAGAGTCCCAAGGTTTTGAGTCATCCTCCATTGTTTCCCAGGCCACTATCAGGGAACTGGATGGAAACTGAAGTAGCTAGGTCACAATCCAGTGCCCATATGAGATCCTGGAGCTTGAAGGGGGAGGATTAGCCAATCGAACCATCACTCTGAGTCCCTCCCCCCACCATTTTCTAACCCTAGGATCCCTCCCCCCACCCAACAATTAGCCCAGCCGCTCTGGATGTTAATCTCTACTCCTCAAACTGTTCCAGCAGTATCAAGTGGAGGGAACAACACTGAACACACTGAAATTGTGATGTGAGATTAGAAGACAAAAAATAAAGTGGCTCTTTATTTTCTAGAGCTTATCTGAACTTTCTGGAAACTTCCATGGTGGGAAAGTTGGTAGAATGGGGGGAAGGGTAAGGCACTAGGGGAGTGTATAGAGACTGTGCCTGATGCAGTGGTTTTTGTCATTTCAGACAGTTTCCAAGTTAACTCAGTCTCATTATAATTCACACCCAGCCTCCTGGCATGCTGCCTGCCTTCCCTGGTTAGCCCTGGGTTAACCTGACATGTTGCTGGTTAATTAATGGTTCATGCAGTCAATGCAATTGAACAAATTTCTCATTTCTAGTGCTGTAAAACAGGCAAGAGACAGAACAAAGCAAGATGCCCAAAATGTCAGTCCTCTGGACCTCACATTCTACTGGGGCACCCAGAGAACTCAGAAAATTTGAAATGCACGATCCATCCGAAGAAGAGGAGGGTCATTAGCAAATAGGCAGCAAATCCTGGGATTAAAGGAGTGCACTGACTCACTGTTACCTGACAAAGCACAGGAGTTTGTGCAAGCAAGCTCAAGGTCCCAGCAGGTGCAGAGGTGGACAGGTGCTGGGATGGATGGTATCCCTTGCTGGTGTGGTCAGGGCATCTCCTGCTGGTGCTTGCTGCTGATGAAAGCTCTTGGCCTTGCTGAAGATTCCCCTGGGCGAGTCTTTCATCTCAGCCGAATCCTTCTTTAGCCCCTAGACAACGAGTGTCCACACAATCCAGCTCTGTCTTCTACACCAGGATCCTCTTCTGAAAGGTCGCTCTCAGCTCAGCACCAGCAGAAACGAAGGAGCTTGGCAGCCTTATCTTTATCTTAGGCTACAGGTGGACAGAGGGATGGTCAGCCACTCTCAGTCCTCTTCCAGTTGGCACCAGGTTATGCTTTGTCCAGGCCAAAGAGCTGGCAATTTCAAGAAACTCTGCCTTGGGAGGTTGGGAGGAAGCCTACTGCACTCTGCCACTTTCTCCAGGCCAATCTGGGTATTTGTAGCAAGAGATTGTCTTAACAATTTTTGTATATAACACTTATTTATTTTATTTGCAAGTCAGATTTACACAGCGAGAAGGAAAGACAGAGAGGGTTGGTGGGGGGAGGTCTTCCATCCTCTGATTCACTCCCCTGTCCTGTCTTGTTCCTCTGTCCAAGATATTCCAAGAAGGCCACCTACATGACTCAAGTATAGCTTGACATGAAAATTTCATTCAGCAGATACACACCACGCTGACTCTCTCAGAGCAGAATTGGAACTTTTACAGAGGAAAGAGAGGTCTGTGTCCTTCAGTTAACCTCGGGCAGCAGATTTTGTCCTTTTTAAAAATTTGCTTATTGGTTTACTTACTTGCTTACTTGCTTGCTTATTTCTTTAAGAGGCAGAATGATTGGATTCAGTGCGATGGCCAAATGGCTAAATCCTCACCTTGCAAGATCCCATATGGATGCTGGTTCCTGTTCTGGCTGCTCCACTTCCCATCTAGCTCCTGCTTTTGGCTTGGGAAAGCAGTAGAAAATGGCCCAAAGACTTGGAACCCTGTACCTGTGTGGGAAACCCAGAAGAAACTCCTGGCTCCTCAACTCAGGCTGTTGCAGCCATGTGGGGAGCAAACTAGCAGATGGAAGATCTCTCCCTCTGTCTCTCCTTCTCTCTATAAATCTGCCTTTCCAATAGAAATAAATCAACTTTATGAAAGAAAAAAGCGGCAGAATTATAGAGAGGGAGAGCAGGCAGAGGATCCTCTGTGCTCTGGTTCATTTCCCCAAACACCCACAAAGGCTAAAACAACCAGGCCAAAGCCAGGAGCCAGCAACTCTATCCAGGGCTCCCATGTGAGTAGCAGGACCCAAGGACTTGGACCATACTCTGCTGCCTTTCAGGTGCATTTGCGGAGAAATGAATTGGTGGCAGAGCAGCCAGGACTCAGCTGGCACTCTGAGATGAGATGCTGGCACCCCAAGTGCCAACTTAGCTCGCTGTAACCCCCAGATTTGGTCTCAAGGGCTGCAAAACTTGTAATTGTTCCTATTTGCCATGCTTCATGTTTGGGGCTACTGGTGTAGTGTCATCCCAATTATGACCAGTCCTTCAAAGACGGATTTTGAAAGCATCTTGGTTTGTCCTTTAGCGTTTGTGTATAAGGTAAGTCATTAAAAAAAAAAATGAGATGAAGGAAAAACAGTGAATGCAAAGTGTTCTAGGCATGGAAACCCAGAGACCCTCTGCCATGCCTATTTAGTCCTAGGCAGACTTTTCCATGCCAGAACTCACTTCTGACTCTGTCTCCTCTCTTCTTTCTGTATTGTGTCAGGTGACACTCAAAAATGCTGGAATCTTCATGGCAAATGCCGTAACAGGTGTTCCCGGAAGGAAAGGGTCTACGTGTACTGCACAAACAACAAGATGTGCTGCGTGAAGCCCAAGTACCAGCCGAAACAGAAGCACTGGCTGTTTTAAGTGCTTTGGAGCCTGGGACCATGCTCACGCCGCAGCAGCTACCCTGGGTCTAACCAAAGTGGGTTCTCCCACTCAAACAATAAATCACTTGGCTGATTTCTGGCTTTGCTTGTTAGTTCCCAGCGGCCGTTCTTCTTTCAGGTGTTCCAGAAGTCAAAACTGTTTGCGCCGGAACACTAAGACATGATTTGCCCTTTGTGAAGGCACAGTGAAATTTTCTGGAATCTGCAAAATACAATGACTTCATTTTTTTGTGGCTATGCACAAAAGATGTGCTTGCACACTTCTGTGTTTCCAGATTTTCACTTTCATTGTATGGGGAAAGCAGAAGAGATAGACAGAAGCAGACAGAAATCTCCCATGTTCTGGTTTATACCCCACATATCAGCAGCAGTGAGGGCTAGGCCTAGCTAAAGCCAGGGGCCTTAGGAATGCCATGCCGATTTCCCATGTAGGAGGCAGGGGCCCAAAGCCTTAAGTCATTATTTGTTGTCCCACAGGATGCATATTAGCAAGAAGTTGGAGCAGAAGCTCCAGTGGAATGTAGCGAGACTCAAACCAGGCACCTGCACCAAAACCCTCCCTTCACAGAGATTTCCAAGGTGGAAGGCTTGTGACAGGAGTATATTCCTTGTCAGAAACAAACTCAGGTTGCTTTCAGACATTTGACTGTTTTACAAAGGGTCTCTAGTTGCATTACTAAATTCACTCTCATCTCATAAGGCACTGTTTTAAGACCCACAAAGATTCCTTGCATGGCAAGAAAGAGGTGTCCCAACCAACTCCAACTGCCCTGCGGAAGACAGAGTGCATGCTCCCTCAGGGGAAAAATGATGCTTACTCCATCTCCATAGTTCTTTTAAACACAATTCCTGGCACGAGTACAATTTTTAACACTATAAATGTGGGATGAGTGTCTAGTCCGGAAGTTTAAAAGGCAGTGTTGATGATATTCACATCGCCACTACCGTGCCTGGGCTGGAGACTCCGCTCTGTCGCCTGACTCCAGGGTCCTGCAGACCTAGAGAGGCAACAAATGAGGGCTCAGGTCACTGGGTTCCTACCACCCATGTGAGAGTCCCGGATGGACATCCTAACCCCTCTCCAACAGCTCTCTTCTCTACTATCTGCATGTGCTTCTCAAATAATAAATGGTTTGAAATTACAAAAGGAGAAATAGGGCTCATCACCAAGAATAATCAAGCAGGTGAAAGCCTGTTAGTATAAATGGCCTGTTTCAAAATAACTCTTATAAATGTGTTCAACCAGAGGAAACAGTTAATAAACAGATGACAAGATGGAAAACTGAAATGAACATCTGGAAAATCAGTGCATCGATATTCTATTGTTGCATTATCTAACCACTTCTAACGGTGGCTTATGATAACAGACCTGTGTGATCGTTCACTGTTCTATGATCAATGAGGTGGTTGTTCTGATAGTTCCACATCAGGTCACTAATGTAATTCATCTCTCTCCACGTGGCCTCTTCACCTCCAGGAAGTTACTGCCAGCTTCTTGCACAATTGCTGGGTCCAGAAGGTAAACCTTGCTTCTGCTTATATTGTGGTTGCTTAAGTCCCATTGGCCAAAGCAGCGTCCGTGTGGAAGAGAATAGCAAGGGCATGGATATGGGAGACATGACCCATTGGGGATCACCAGCGTGTCACCATGCTTCACATGAGAATGCTAGGGATAAATTAGACATTCTACAATTACATGTTTAAAACTCTAAGCTTAAACTTTTATTGGATGGGCTTCATAGCAAACTGACAATCTGTGAACTCAAAGACAGGTCAATAAAGAATATGTTCATTGATTGCCAGAGCAGGAGGGACAGGACAACATCAAGTGGTCTAATGTCAGTGTAGGTGGAGTCCCAGAAGAAGGGCAGGGAACAAAGAGAAAGGAATATTTTTAGAGGATAATGGCTGAAATTTTTCCAAAATTTTTGGAAGACATCATTACACAGACTCAAGAAGCCTAACGAACAACAGAGCAGCACAGACAAAATAAAATCTACATGTATCATAGCCAAAATGCTGACAGATGAAAAAACACTTTTCAGTACCTATACTTCATATGAGCCATGTTCAGCAATGTATAAAGAAAATTAGAAAGCATTAATGAAAATCCAACACTTCAAGTTCTCCCAATGACCCCAAGTCAAGTTCCAGGGCTCTGCTTCCTCCCCATCTAAGCTCTACTTCCACATACAAAACTGTGCATACACTGCCATTGTAACTCTACAGCACATGCAGCTGGATTTAGGTTTGAGTTTCAGCCATAACTTCTCTGCAGCTGCCAGGAATAGAGGATGGTTTGAAAACGTCAAAGGTGCTCTCCGTCTCTGCTCTGATGACGACTCAGGCTGGGAGTCTAAAGCCTTTTGCTGTCAGAAATCACCAACCTCCCAGCCCATGCAGTCATTGCAAAGATCAGATGCATAACCACCAACCTGTTGGTGAGAACTTGACATCCACTGCATCCCATTAAACTCAAGACTCACCTTTGATAGTAAACATTTTGCAATGCCCCCCTTTTTTGTCCCTAAAATAAAATTCATTTCTATATTAACCTATCTGCTCGCATCATTTCAAAAAAAATCAAACTAATCCCTAACTATGCTGTAAAAGAAGAGGAAAACGCTGTTGTAATATCTACATCACTGCACAAATAAGTTAAATATAAAGGTACACAACATGAGGGCAACAGAGATAGGACAGGTTCAAATGGGTGTGCCTCATGACAACACACACCCTACCCATCACGTTGCTATTTGCATCGTAACTTTCCAAAATTAGGAGTCATATTCATAGGCAAAGTTTTAATCGAAGTAAAATACAAGCATCCCCCAACGTACACTCTAGTTTCCTTCCAGGAAACTTCAGGCAAACAAAAAAAAAAAAAGACTTGCCAATGACTTTCATCAGGCCCCAGAAAGTTACCAATGCGTTTATCGTATACATAAAGTCTAGTGGGACATTTGAGTTTTGCCTGGGAAAAGAATCAATGCTTCATTCTCGAAAGCATTGCTTAAAACCTAATAGTCCAAGTTCCCAACCCAATACATTCTAGGAAATTGGCTGTGGGGAACACACTTGGTAAGTTCCCAAAGCAGGCTCTAGAGGGCAGTAGCTCCCCCTTGAGATTCTGGTGTCACCGTTTACACGGTGAGAATTGCCTGCTCTTCCGGAGATGCCAGGAGCATCAGCGCAAACCACCAATCCAGTGACGTCCACAACAGGTGCTCAGGGAAAAAGAGACACGTAGAGGAAAAGAGACACTTATTTTCGATTTGTCTCCTTGCTTTTTACAACGTTTTGCCTTTCTGAAATGTCGTGTAAATGGAGTCATTCAAGACACGCTCCTGATATTTCTGAAATGAACTCGGTCGTATCAGTAAATCATTGTTGCTTGTGGAGAGGTAAAGTGTTGTTTGCATGTAAGTCAAGTTATCCATTCACTTGTTGGACAACTGGAGTTGTTTCCACTTAGGAACTATTATGAATAAAGTTATTATAAATGTAGATGTGCATCTATCTATTTTTATAACTAACCCTGAAACTGTCTTTACCAAGGGGCTATCCGTGCTGTATTCCCACTAGCAATGTGTTAGCATTCCAGTCGCTTCACATCCTCACCAACCTTGCTGCCATGGATCTTGGAAGTCCCTCTAAGGGGCCTGTATAATGTCCCAGTGTGGTTTGAATGTGCATGTCTCTAAGAACTAATGATATCATTGCATTTGTCGGCCACTTACATAGCTTTTTGTGTAAAGTGTCTTTATTTGCTCATTGAAATATTGAATATTGTCTTTTCTGATTGATTTACAGAAGCTGTTTGCATAGTATGAATACAAGCTCTCTGTCACACACATGCTTTACAAATATGAGTAACATCGATCCAAACAGGCTACAGGAATCCATCTTTGCCCCAGTGCCTGAGCAAGTGGAAGGCAGTGATTGAAATTACTTCCTAGGCAGGAAACGCATCTGGGAGTCAAGCTACCACATAGCATCATGTAATTGCACCACGGAAATGGATTCATTTTTCATAATATCAGCTCCTGCACACAGCCAAGCACTTCCTGTGATGCCTGACCAAAAGCAAGGGATGTATCCCCTCAATGGAGAAAAGCTTGCTATGTAAGTCAGTCACCAAAAGTGCTTACCTGAGCTATCTGAGCCCCGGTGTTTTTGTGGGTTTTGTTGTTGTTTCTTTTTTGTGGCTTGCCTCTAGAGGTTAAATCTGGCCCTCGTGTAATTAGCAATTCTACTGGACACTCTGCCATTATGGCAGCAGAGTGGCCATCATCTCACGAAGAAAATCAGGGCTTTCTGCTCTTATGAAAGCTTAGTGCAAGTAGTGGGAAAGCAGGTGTGTGGAGTACAGATTGGCTAAGTTTCCACAAGGTCAGAATAGCACATAACAGTTCCAAGCATAGAGGAGATAAGCAGCTCTACTATGGAAAGAAAGGGATCAGGCAACATTCCAAGGGACAACAAAACGTCAAACACTGGGGTCAGGCCTTCCACGACTCCAGGCCTGTGCCCGGCTCTGCTGCATACACAGGTCCCCTGCTTTATGTCTACCAACATATGCCAGGATACAGCCCAAAACGCCAACAGGGATTATGAAAGAGTGGTGAATATTCTGAGTATATAATGTGTTTTAAACACACTGCTTACAAAAATTGGAAGCTTTTGCAGAAATTTGAAGAGGCATTTTTGCGTTAACGGTCCTGTTTGGAAAGAACGGCTAAGAAAGAACATGGGCAAGGTGCATGGTAAGTAAAGGAAGAGGAAAAAGGACACACAAAAGCTACAGTTGGATTCCACTCTATTTTTGTCACATTTTACATATTTATTTTCTATTTTTTACACTATTTGTACGTTTTATACATTATTTGCCATATATAACATATTGAGACATGTTACGTATCTATTTGTGGGTATTTCTGTATAGTGAAAATACCAGTGATCATAGCTTTCTTATTGGTGATTGTCTCTGGTTTTTTTTTTTTTAAGATTTATTTATTCCTGTTGGAAAGTGAGATATACAGAGAGGAGGAGAGACAGAGAGGAAGATCTTCCATCCATTGATTCACTCTCCAAATGAACACAATGGCCAGAGCTGAGCTGATCCAAAGCCAGGAGTCTCTTCTGGGTCTCCCACGTGGGTGCAGGATCCCAATGCTTTGGGTCGTCCTCGACTGCTTCCCCAGGCCACAGGCAGGGAGCTGGATGGGAAGCAGAGCTGCTGGAATTAGAACCGGCGCCCATATGGGACCCTGGCATGTGTAAGGTGAGGACTTTAGCCACTAGGCTACCATGCTGGGCCCTGGTGATTGTCTCTTACACATTTTCCTTTTTTTTTTTTTTTTTTTAATAACAAATACATGTTGAAGGACAGCCCCACAAAAACCGGATCATGATGCCCAAGGACTCCGAATCTCAAATGTTCTCAGCAGACTGAGAATGTGGCAGGGAGCAGACACCCTGCTGGGATTGTGGATAAGCCTTGCTTGCTAAAGTGCCTGGAGAGGTGTGAGGCGTCTTCAACATCTCCCTCTTCCTTTAGTGATTGTGGCTTGAATGTATCTGAGTACAAATAAAATTATGTTAGATTCCATTACTACAGCCATCAGGGACTCCTCAGGCAGTGCCCATGTCCCCAGCTCCTGTCCTCGCCCACCTGTCTCACCTGGCACCCCTCCAAGACTCCCCTTCACACGGTCTTATCTTGCCAACATATGACCACCACTCCACAGTGGGAACAGCCTTGATATGGCATCAAAATATCTCAGCCCACACTCTGGTTCTTTCCCTGTGGGAGCTGTGTGGCCATGGGCAAGTCACTTTCCGACTGTGAGAGACCTTCTTGAGGAACCTCCAATCCTAGAGTGGTCCCATCTCTCCAGCTTGCGGGACGCATCCTGATGACTTAACAGGTTGGTGCAGACTCAGGTGGGTCTTGCTGAATGCTGGTGGGAATCTGGCCAGGGGTGTGCAAAGTGGAGGTTCTGGACACGATGTAGTCAGGAGACTGCCTTCAGAAGGCCAAGATGCCTGAGACACAGTCACTGAGAAAAACACAGCATCACTTCTGTGATGGCCCTGCCCAAAACCACAGAAGCCGAATCCCGTCATGAGGAAACACCAGTGAAACTCACAGGGAGGCACATTCCACAAAGCAACTGGCCTGGAGCCTTCAAAGCTGCAGTAGCAGGCCGGACGGAGGAGATGAGCTTGAGGGAATACAGTCATGGGACACAGCATGCCACTGGGACTTGGTGTCGCTGCAAGGGACTTCATTGGAAAAGCTGATGAAGAACTAAGTGCTGGAGGTGGACAATCGATTTCCTCAATGTTAATGTCCCAATTTTGGAATCATAGTGTATATGGTTATGTAGGGAAACACATTGTGTTTAAAAAAAAAAAAAAAAGCCACTGAGCTGTGTGGGTACCACATCTGCAATTTACTTTCAGAAATAAAGAAATAAGGAAGGAAGAAAGGGAGAAAGGGAGAAAGAAAGAAAGAGGGAAAGAAATAGATATCACAGAGATAGTAAAGGAAGGTCAAACTGAAAAAAATGTCAACATCTGGCAAAATTGGAGGAAAGAGCTGTAACAATTCTTTGTGTTCATCTTATGGTTTTGGGGTCCAGAAATGGGGTAAAGCCTCCACCTGCAATGCCAGGTTTGACCTCCAGCTGGTCCACTTTTGATGCAACTCCCTGGTAATGTGTGTGTCTGGGAAAGCAGAGGAGGATGGCCCAAGCCCTTGGGCCCATGCACCCATGTGGGAGACCTAGAAGAAGCTCCTGGACTCAGATAGACTCCATTCTAGTGGTTTGGGGCCATTTGGGGAATGAACCAGCAGATAGAAGATCTCTATCTCTCTCTCTCCCTCTATCCCTCCCTCTCCCTCACTCGCTCTTTCTTCCCCACCTGGTAACACCGACTTTCAAATAAATTGACTTCTAAATATTTTGTGATTTTGCTATGAGAAAGTGAAATTGCATGGAAAAGGTGCAGGTGCCTTTTGCTCAGAAGTGACAGCAATGAGAGCAGTTTCTGTTTAGTTTCTGAGCATATCAGCTGCCGGAGTCAGCCTCGTCTGGCTCCAAGACTAGCTCTAGAGGGGCTGGCCCTGCACACGGAGGCTGGCTTGCTGGGGAGGATGTTGACAGTCCAGCTCCGGGTGGGCTTGCCCGTGTCTCACAGCCTGAGGCCTGCACACTGCAGGGCCGGTCTGAGATCTTCAGTCCTTCTGACCACCACCACCACCCCCATGTCTCACCCTCTCCTACAGGAAGTCATTATCATCTCAGCTACAAGTTCCTGCCACTGCCTGCTCCCTCCAAGGCAGAGAAAACGCCTCTTCAACTACCGAGGAGAGGGCAGAGAGCAAGACTAAATTTAGTCCTGTCCGATTTGAAACTCGGTCTAATCCAACCCTGTTCTCCTGGGGTTTCTTAAATCTGGACAGGCTCAGTCTTTGAGAGTCCTCCTCTCCTTCCCAGGGCAGCGGTGGGCTGAGTGATGGAGGGTGGGGGAATGGACCATGGAGCACTGGCCTATCCCTGAGACCCAGCACCAGCCTTCTAGCTGCAGCCTGTGCACACTGCGAACTGGCCTGGTGCGTCGTGGCTCCAGCTCCCTGAAGCCTGGTGACAACACTGGCAAGTGCATTGCACACACACACACACACACACACACACACATCCGCCTTCCTAGCTCTGTGCCTTCTTCCCAGGGTGGGAGGAGGTAGTTCTTTCTCACTCACTTTGCTGGGCCAGAAACAGGCTCTGCAGCTAGCCCACACCGGAACTGAGGGCATAGGGAAGCGGTCAGATCCCTTAGAGACAGTTCAAGGCTCCTTCCTGTGGGCGAAGAGTCCCCTGGGTGCGCCTGCCCTGCTCCAGCTGTCAGAGCCCTAAGCTTCCCTGGAACCAGAGCCAGGGGTGAACTTTGGCCCAAGAGATCTGGTCCGTGACTGTCCCCATCCTTTCTGGCTACTCTATGCAAGGTCCACCCTCTTCCTTGGGCTGGGTCAAGACCATCCAGAACAGCTCTCTTTGTAAGTCCAAAAGGACAGGGACAAGAGCCTCCCTGTACTTGGTGCCACCCACCCCCACCCCCACTCCACTCCCGCATCAAAGTGTGCAACGTATCTGCCCCTCCCGGGGCTAGGCCTCAGGGGAAGAAGGGCACACATGACCCTCTTTCTCCCAAGTACAGTCCACTAACAAGGCTAGAAAAGGGGAATCTCAGCCTGGCGCAGTAGCCTAGTGGCTACAGTTCTTGCCTTGCACTTGCTGGGATCCCATATGGATGTCAGTTTGTATCCCATCTGCTCCACTTCCCTTCCAGTTCCCTGCTCGCAGCCTGGGAAAGCAGTCAAGGGCAGCTCAAAGCCTTGGGACCCTACAACCGTGTGAGGGGACCCAAAGGAAGCTCCTGGTTCATGGCTTCGGATCAACTCAGCTCCGGCTATTGTGGCCATTTGGAGAGCGAACCAGCGGATGAACAATCTTTCTGTCTCTCCTTCTCTCTCAGTAAATCTAACAACTTTCCAGTAAAAATAAATAAACCTTTAAAAAAAAAAGTGGACTCTCTTCTTTCCCAACTTGTCTTTGAAGTTATATTTTCCTTGAAAGTCAGATTTATGGAGAGTGAGAGGAGACACCAAAAGATCTTCCATCAGATGCTTCACTCCCCAAGCAGCCTCAACAGCCAGAGCTGAGCTGATCCAAAGCCAGGAACCTCCTCTGGCTCTCCCACACGAGTGTAGGGTTCCAAGGCTTTGAACCATCCTTTATTGCTTTCCTAGGCCACAAGCAGGGAGCTGGAAGGGAAGTGGAGCAGCTGGGATACAAACTGGCACCCATATGGGATCCTGACATGTACACAGTGAGGACTTTAGCCACTAGGCTACTGTGCCGGTGTTCTTTGGCCAGGCACATTTGTGGCATGCCGGGTAAAGGAAAATCAGTGAGGAGCTTCAGGGCCCACAGTGGTGCCAGTTAGTGGATGCACCATTCTGAAGGTCAGGGTTCACAAGGGACTCTACCGCTATCCACTCTTACTGCCAGCTCTCCTTATGAAACCTGGTGGTTAAGGCGACCTTTCTCTCAGCCTCTTTCGACAAAGGCTTCATTTCCTAGTGCAATTATTCCCACACAACGGATGAGGAGACTGAGGGGGAGGCTTACAAAGGTGGAGGAATTTTTCCGGAGCTGGACACAGCCATGGGAGGGGAAGTACCAACACAGGTAGTTAAAGTCACTCAGCCCTGGCATCCCGCCCCCATATTCTTGACCTTGACCCTTGTCTCTTGAGGGTAAACCAAGCAGAAAGAGAGAGAGGCAACCATTCACCGGCAGCATGTGTTTTATTGGCTCGTGAGGATGCCGAGGCCAGAGGCAGTTACTTGTCGTCCACCTTGGGGACCCGGGGAGGCTTCAGGGTGTAGGCGAGGCAGCACAAGGAGGCATCCGGACACAGGTGCATGTAGGACTCTTGCCTCGTACAGTAAGTGCGGCAGGCCCCTTGGCCTTGCCAACACCGCTTGAACTCACTTCTCCCTGTGCAGAGGAAGACCACAGATCACCTGTCACACATCAGCTCACCAAGAAGGGGCTGGCCCAGGGGAACTACATGTCAGGAAGGACTCCAAGACAGGCAGTCCGACTCCACAGTCCATCCTCAAAACCTCACCAGACAGCCCCTACATAGAAATCCACTTAACATGTGGTTTTGGTCAGGGATTTTCCATGAGCAATAGAAAAGAGGAGGCTTGCGGGTACGGGGCCTGCGTCCCATGCAGGGGTCTCTGATTGCAGTATGGGAGGGAGCCTTGCCGTCAGTGTTCACTCGACATATGTAACACTCAGGCTGGGGGCTGGGAGTACCGTAATGAATAGCATTGCATTGTCCATGCCCTCCAAGTTTCTCCAGCTGACACGGAACTCGTTTAAAAACCAGGCAAGTAAATTCACTTAGCAGGGCTGGCGGTAAATGATCAAAGTGGAGGAGGATGTGTGGCACAGCGCACGTCCCACACTGATTTCCCTCCTGCAAATCCACTTCTACTTGAGCTCCCTGCTCATGCGAACCCTCGGGGGAAGCAGGGGGTGGCTCAAATCCCTGGCTTCCTGCCTTCTAGGGTGGCAAACCCAGGAGTCTCGGCTGCAGCCTGACCTAGCCCAACTGCTGCACACATTAGGGCAGTGAACCACAAAGTGGAATCTCTCTCTCTCTGCCTTTGAAACAAAATAAAAATATTTTTTAGAAAGGAAATGTTCTGGGTCCAGGGATGGGCAATGGGAGCAGAAGGGAGACATTGGAGAGAGAAGATGTCCACTGGGACAGGCTCGCCTTCTGCAGCAACTTCTCTCACCCATGACCTTGGAGAGACACTAAACAAGCAATGCAGGAGGAGGGCTGCATGGAGGCGGTGGGTTGGGAGAAGAAAGGTTCCGCTAGGTTCCCTTGGATTCAAAGACCCTACGTGCTGCTCAGCTCATGGCCCCAGCCAGCCACAGCTTAAGTCAGGCCTGCCCACCAGTCCATCTTCCCATCTTGCCAAGGGCAGGATCTCAGAGTGCCAGGGGTTGATCTCCCAACTCTACAGGACAGAGTCCTCACACTGAAGAAGGTAGACTCGGCTCAGACTGGCTGAGTCCCCACGCTCACCCGGTCATTCCCAGGTAAGTGACCTGAGCCATGGACACCTCATCCATCCCTATTACTCTCACAGAGGGCAGAGACAGGGTCCCAGCAGCACAGTGCCTGGGGCAGAGTCAGTACCCAAGGAGCAGCAGAGTAGGCTGCCAGAAGCACAGCAGAGACTGGGGCCGGTTGAAGACAACCCACTCACTTTGCAGGTAGAGAAAGAAAGCACCCAGTCCAAGCACCCTCAGCCTTTAGGTGGCGGGTCTGAAGGTAGCACCTGAGCCCCCGAAGGCCGCGAGGGCCATGCCTACACTGAATCATCCTCACGCATGGTCACATCCTGGCTCCTCAGTCACTTGAAATCCCCACTTCCTGTGGGCCATTGTCCCCCACCGTGTTCCTCTGTGCTCCACACTGCACTCCAGCCCACCAGCCACACTCCGGCCTCACGGCCTTTGCTTCTGCTGCTCCCCCGGCCTAGACCCATCTCTGAGTCTGCACTGGCTCATCTCACACAAAAATGACAATAACACAGCCAGCATTTCCTCCAAACGAATTCACTCGGGAGGACAGGATGATTCCCTTCAAAACAAAATTGAAGGGAATTGGCAGTGTTTGAGGTTGGGTGACAAGTACCAAGGAGTTCTTTTATTCTCTTATTTTGTTTGCAATTTTCCTTTAATTCTTTTTTATTCCTTTGAAAGACAGGAAGAGAGAGAGAGATCTTGTATCTGTTGGTTCACGCTCTAAGTGCCCACAACAGCCAGAAACCCAGAGCTTGCAATTCAATCCAGGTTTCTCGTGTGAGGGGCAGAGACTCGGCTACGACCTTCCAGGGCGCACACCAGCAGGAAGCTGCCTGGGAAGCAGAGGCAGCAGGCCTGGAAGCCAGGGGCTCTGCTGAGGGTTGCAGCAGGCGTCCCAGGTTCTGGCTTAACTGCTGAGCATGGAGTGGGCACTTAGCCTGGCAGTTCAAACACCTCTATCCCACGTTAGAGGAGCTGTGTCCCATTCCTGTCTCCAACTTCCTGCTAATGCACACCCGGGGGGAGGAGGGAAGCAGGTGATGACCCTGTAACTGGGGTCCTGCCACTCCCGTGGGAGACCTGGCCAGACTGCCTGGATCCTGGCTTCACCCCAGCCCAGACAGGGATTTGGAGAGTGAACCAATGAATAAGAGCTTTCTCTCTCTCTCTGTCTAAATTGGGCACATAAAAATTTTAAAATGGAAACTGACCTCATTCCTTTATTCTCTAATTTTATATAAGTAAACATTTTTCCATAATAAGAATATATTTTTTAAACTCACCTCATTCATTACATTGTTCTATTTTTACACATATTTCAAATTTTCCAAACTAAATTTAAAAACAAAACCCTCTTCCGAGGACTTTCCCCAGCCTCCCACCAGCCTCTGCATCACCCCAGCCTGGTGTGCATGAGCCACTTAATCCCACATCTGGCCTTTATTCTGCTCAGTGCCTGACATATTATGTGTTACCTTATTCTCTGTCTCCACCAACTACTATCTCAACTCCAGGGAAGCAAGGGCCTTGCCTTCCTGCACAGCTAGAACTCCAGCAACCCTAACAATGCTTGTCACAAAACAAATACGTTCAAAGGAATATTCACTGAGTTAATCCCACTTTGCAGATTATAAAACTGAGGTGCAGGCTGATTTAGCACTTTACTCTTAAGTGAGTGCTGAGGACAGAACTTAGTGCCAGTCAAGGCTCTTCTGTCCTCTGGGACTCGCAAGCCTGCTCCTCACTCACATACACACACACACACACACACACGCACACGCATACGCACCTGGTGGCACATGACCCAGGACTAGCAGGGCCACAGTGAGCAGAAGCAGCCGTGTCATAACCCGGAGCTGAGTGAAGCACGCTGAACCTTGCACCCAGAGGTTCCGCCTTTATTGGACGGCAGATGAAGGCGGGACTGTGGGCAGCAGACCCAAGTGGGAGGAGGTGACCATGTGGTTTCCAGGTTACTTAGAACCTCAGCAAGCACCTGGTGGTGAGCTGGGGCCTGCCGGAGGCTGCTGGGCTCTGAAGCCGGTGGCAGAATCTTCTAAGGCAAGGCCTAAAGCTCAGAAAAACTAGGCTGAGACAGAAAGAAGAGCTGTAACTTTGAGAGACTTTGTCCAACTCCAGCAACCCCCTCTAGTTGCTGTGAGATCATGGGCAAGTTGCTGAACCTCTCTGAATCCCAGACCATCATCCCTAGAGGACCTGCCCCTCTGACAAAGCTAATAGAATGGAGAATTCCCTCCCAGATGCCAAAGATATGGGCCCGGTACACCAGCCCACTCAAACAAGTGTGCATTCAGGCCTGCTCTAAAAGTGAAAAGAATAGAGGCCAGCGCAGTAGTGTATCAGGCTAATCCTCTGCCTGCAGTGCCAGGATCTGCTATGAGCACCAGTTCATGTCTCTGTTACTTTACTTCCATTCAGCTCCCTGCTTATTCCCTGAGAAAGCAATGGAGAATGACTCAAGTCCTTGGGCCCTTGCATCCACATGGAACACCTGAAAGAATGGTTCCCGGCTTCAGACTGGCTCAGCTCAGGCCATTGCTGTCATGTAGAGAGTAAACCAGCAGATGGAAAACCTCTCTCTGTCTCTCCTTTCTCTGTAACCCTGCCTTTCATATAAAAGCAAATCTTTTTTTAATGGGAAGAAAAATAGTACCTACATCATACAGAGGATTAAATCAAATCATATGTCAGGGACCTGGCACAGTAGCCTAGTGGCTAAAGTCCTCGCCTTGCATGCTCCAGGATCCCATAGGGGCGCCAGTTCATGTCCTGGCGGCCCCACTTCCTATCCAGCTCCCTGCTTGTGGCCTGGGAAAGCAATCGAGGACGGCCCAAAGCCTTGGGACCCCATATCCATGTGTGGGGAGACCTGGAGGAAGCTCCAGGCTCCTGGCTTTGGATCAGCTCAACTCCAGTCATTGTGACCGCTTGGGGAGTGAATCAGTGGACAGAACATCTTTCTATCTCTCCTTCTCTTTGTGTATCTGATATTCCAATAAAAATAAACAAATCTTTTAAAAACTCATAACATGTTCTCAAAGTGTCACCCACAGACCAGCCAGCAGCAGCACCTGTTGCTTGTAGGCAATGCGTGCTCTAGCTCAGGTCCAGCGCTCTGAGCAGGACTCAGTCCCTGCAAACCGAGCTCAGCAATCCATCCAAATGATTCCAGTGCAGTCCTACAGTTTGGGACTTTTTTCTTTTTTAAAGATTTATTTTTTATTATTTTTTTATTGGAAAGGCGGATATACAGAGAGGAGAGACAGAGAGGGAGATCTTCCGTCCAATGATTCACTGCCCAAGTGAGCGCAACAGCCGATGCTATGCCGATCCGAAGCCAGGAGCCTCTTCCAGGTCTCCCATGTGGGTGCAGGGTCCCAAAGCTTTAGGCCGTCCTTGACTGCTTTCCAGGGCCACAGGCAGGGAGCTGGAAGGGAAGCGGGGCTGCCAGGATAGAACCGGCGCCCATATGGGATCCCGGCACATACAAGGCGAGGACTTAGCCACTAAGTCATTGCACCAGGTCCAGCAGTTTTTAAAAATTTGTTAGAAATCCCACTTGGATCATTTTTAGATTTACTATGGAGTCACACCAATAAAATGAGCCTGGATCCTGGTTCCATGGGTGGTTGCACCTGCCAGAACTCTCTGGCCACCTTCCATCCCAAACCAGTATCTGTTTCTTCCTCCAGAACACTTAGGAAGAAACTTATAAGCCGGGCCCGGCGTGGTGGCGCAAGTGGTTAAGGTCCTCGCCTTGCACGCCCGGGATCCCATGTGGGCGCCGGTTCTAATTCCGGAAGCTCCACTTCCCTTCCAGCTCCCTGCCTGTGGCCTGGGAAAGCAGTCAAGGACGGCCTAAAGCCTTGGGACCCTGTATCCGCGTGGGAGACCCGGAAGAGTCTCCTGGCTTCGGATTGGCATAGCATCGGCCATTGCACTCACTTGGGGAGTGAATCATCGGATGGAAGATCTTCCTCTCTGTCTCTCCTCTCTGTATATCCGCCTTTCCAATAAAAAAATAATAAAAATAAATCTTTAAAAAAAAGAAAGAAAGAAAGAAACTTACAAGCCATAAGCTGGGGCAGGCTCCTGGCACATCCCACCTGCCACCTGGGATGGTCAGGGTGCTTCCTTCAAGTGGCAGCTCCACTCCCAAACCCAGCTCTCTGGTCATGCATGTCCGAGGAGGCAGGAGGGGGCACCTCAAGGACATGGGTCCCTCCCTGCCAGCCAGGGCAGAGGGCAGGGAGACCTGGATGGATTTCCCAGCTCCTAGCTTTGGCCTGGACCAGCCCCAGCAGTTGCAGGCATTTGGGGATTGAACCAGTGGATGATGATTCATTCTATCTTTGTGTGTGTGTATGTGTGTGTGTGTGTGTGTACGTGCCTGCCTTTTAAATAAAAGTGAAAATCAGGGTTTTTTTTATCAAAAAGTTAAATTATTTTCTAAGCATAAACTGTTGTTAAAGGGGTCTCTAGAATGAAGGGCAGGAACAGGCGCCCCAGCCCTATTCATGCTCAGTCAGTGACTGCGGGAAAGAGTAAATGATGTCAAAATTAGATACGTGGAATTTCGGTCCCTGGGTTCTCCCTGCTTCCCAAGCCACTCCCCAAAACTACTCCTCCAACTAGAGTTGCTCCAGGTCCACGAACGGGAACGAGCCGCGAGTGGGGATCACTGGGAGCAATGATGTGAAAATACAGATTCCCGGGTCCCTCGCCCAGGGCTGTTGAACTCTCCTGGTACCCGGGACTGGGCGTCGTGAGGGCTGCAGTGGGTGCGTCTCATCGCAGATGGAGTCGTCGGAGGCGTAGCGCAGACGGAGCCAGATCCAGGAACCTTGAGCCTTCGTCCTTCCCCTCTTGCGTCCGCCACCCTGGGCGCGAGGTTGGAAGCAGCCGGTCCCACAGAGCTCTGAGCCCGGGAAAACCCGTCCAGCGACCAAAGCCTTGGGGCAAGGGCCCCGGGGCGGCCCGATCGGGGCGGGGCTGGATGGGGCGGGGTCGCGGCTCCTCCCCCGTCCCCGGCCCGGGCGGCGGGGCGGGCCGGCCGGCTAGAGGGGCTGTGCGCCAAGGCGGGTGCTACAAGCCTGGAGCGCCCGGAGGCGGAGGCGGCGGGGACCCCGGACCCCTCCCCAGGCCGAGGTAAAGTCCCGTGCGCGACCCGCCGCCAACTTGCCCAACTTGGAGCGGAGTTTGCCAGGCGCCGGCAGGGACACGGGAGCCTCACACTGGCGTCCCGAGGCGGGAGCAAGGGTCTTTAGACCCTGGGTTCGGCGGGTTGGGTAGCCTCAGCCAAGGAGCAAACCCCACACCCTCACCCCGGGATCCCGAGACTCACTCCCACCCAGGCCCTGCGGCTGGAAAGGCTCGGACCCAGACTCCAGGGATGGTTGCTCGGGCGCCCCTCACTGCCACCCACGGGGACCTTTGACCCTGGCTAGGACCCGATCCTGGCCACCCAACCTGGGACCCGGCCGGCTTGCGTCTCCCGCCCCCAACAACGACAGCTGGAGGCCTCCTAGCCAGCCGCTCCTGAATTTTTCACACAGGGGGCGGGCCCGACACGCGTTCCCATGGCACCCGGGCACTCAGGTTACCGGCTGGGGAACCCCGGGAGCCCCCTGCCCTACCAGCGCCTACCTGCCCAGGTAGTGCATCTTCCTCAGACTTCCAGGGTTCAGGCGGTGGCAGCAAATCCTCCCACTGGAACCCTCAAATCTCCTTGAACCCCCCAACCCAGAAGTGCAAAAGAAAGAACGATGGAGAAAGGAAGAGAGCCCCAAGGAGGCTTCTGTTCTGAAGGGGGTGGGAGGACAACAGTGTGGACGTCACCTGGCTGCTGGCCTCTGTGTGCCAGAGAAGGCACTGGGGAGTGACCTGCAGCTGGGATGGTCTCTGTGTGTTCACAGCCTCACAGCCTTGCAACTGGACCCAGAAAACTCCTACCCCAAGCGGTTCCCGGGAAGACCATCTCAGCACCCCTTTAGGACACAGAGAAGAGGTGCAAGGCAGCTGGCTCACGGCCCATTTCCCCCTTCTTCTGGAAGGAAGAAAAGGAGTGAAGTCTCCCCACATCATCAAGGATGACACTAAACACACAGCAGGAAGCCAAGACCCCCCTGCGCCGGCGAGCCAGCACCCCACTGCCCCTGTCCTCCAGGGGCCCCCAGCCTGGCCGCCTGTGCCCACCACCGGCCACTCAACCCCAGCACCCACGGCTGGGCCAGTCGGCTTCCCTCAACCCTCCCGCCCGGGTGCCTTCCCCTGCCCCCGACAGCTGGTCCTCAGAATCCAGCGACTCTGAGGGCCCCTGGGAGGCCCTGTACCGCGTGGTGCTGCTCGGCGATCCCGGCGTGGGCAAGACCAGCCTGGCCAACCTCTTTGCAGGAAAGCAAGAACGGGACCTCCATGAACAGCTGGGAGGTAGGGACCCTGGGGGCTGGGCTGGGTCATGGCTGTGGGGGGAGGGAGTGGAGGGTATGAAGAGTTGAAAGTCAAGCCACCAGGTAGGGTGCAGGGCTGCTGAAGATAGCAACTGAACTGTGCTTTCCCATTTCCCACCCCCTGCCACCCCCACCCCAGTTATACAGGGTACAGCCTGCACAATGGCTTGAAACTTGCAGAATGGAATAAGAGATTTGATTTCTCATAGATGAGACATGTATAATTAATTTCCATGTCAGAAGGGGAGTAGTTTTGAATTCCATGAGTGTAAAGAAATGGTGGGCTTCCATTCAGCTCCTTCTGCCTCTTCCAAGGCCACTGCGACTTGTGGCAAAACTAAGATCCTTAGTTGCTTGGGGCCTTGGCTTGCTTGATTCCCGAGCAATGTCAAGAACTAAGAGGGGAGATGGGGTCCCTAAGGACAAGCTGAGGAGACACAGGGTTGGTTAGAAGCAGAGAAGCTGGGGACACCGGCCAGGCTCCTTCTCCAGCCTTGATCCCATGAACACACGCTTGTGACAAGGGTACCTGTATACACCTGTACATGTTACAGCTGTGGGGACAGAGCCCTAGGGAACCCCAGCTTGATGCACAGGCTGAACTGAACCCAGAGCAGGTCTGGGAAAACCCCACCACCCTGCCTTCATTCAAGCAACCAAACCAACCTTCCCAGCACCCACTAACACCCACTAGGCTTTGTACTGGCAGCTGGGGGAGACAGGCACTCCTCCTGGGGGCTCTCTGGCCTATGTGGCAGACAGGTAGCACATGTGTGCAGAGAGCGCCTCCAGGGGGAAGCAGAGGGGCCGTGGATGGGGACCTGGGAGCTAGGGGGGGGGCCCACACCCCTGCCCCAGGCCTGCTTCTCTTCCCTAAGATCTAACTCTCCCCTCACTTACAGAGGGTGTGTATGAGAGGACACTCACAGTGGACGGAGAGGACACTACCCTGCTGGTCATGGACACGTGGGAGGCCGAGAGATTGGTATGGCCCTGCAAGCTGGATTCAGGGTGGGGTGGGGTGGGGAGTGCTGAGCCTGACACCACAGTCCTAGCCCCTCCTGAGGCCCCCGGAGCAGAGCTATTGCAGGGGCCATCCTCAGCCTGCCCTGCGAATGCATACAGCTCCTCAGGAGCCTTTCCAAAGCAAAGATGAAACTCCTCCTAGCCCCAACTCCATCTTTAATCCTGTGGTCCCCACCCAGCAGCCACACCAAGCATGTGCAGCTCCTCCAATCCCCATCACATCACCAAGGGGCAGAAGGAGCGGAATTTGGCACTGCAACATCTCAGGCTGAACCCTGCCCCCTTTTTCTTGCTGGTTGTACAGCTTTGTGCGCAGCTAACTCGCCCATCTGAGTTTGCGTTTTCACAGCTGATAAACGGCTCCATCATTCCTGCACTCCTGCCTTGTTTACGTTCTTAGGTGAATTTACAGAAATGAACGCAGTTTAGAACATTAAAAAAAAAAAAGAAAAAGCTGGATGCAGTGAAGTTCTTAAATGATCATTCCTATCTCCTTCTAAGTTGGTAGCCAGGGAAACAGGCGATTGGAAGGGTGCCCTTCCCTACCCCCACAGAGCGGGAGGATGGCAGCAGATGGTGGACACGTCCAGGCAGGATCGCCTCACCTGGTTTGGCCTGTTCGTGTCTCTCACTACACAGAAATGTGAGGACATCTACCTCAGCAAAGACCAGAACCTGAAAATCACATGTGCCCCATCTCACAGAGGGTTGGACCCATCCCCCTGACTCTAAAAGAAGCCCCGCCCAGAGGGCAGGGCCTAGGAGGGCCCTGCTGGGTGATGGACCGAATAGCTAAGGCAGCTCCTCTGGCAGATCCCCCAGTGGCCCTGTAGGCCGCTCCTTCTTCAAAGTATGAGAGGACCCCACGGGGCTGCAGGGCCCTTGTCCTAATGATGGTTTGCCAGGCAGCAGGTGGAAGTGATCTCTGTTTCAGCATTAGCCTTGCACTCAGCCCTGCACATGAGTCACAACGTAGGATCAGAACAAGACCAGCACAGTGGCTCTTCCAATTCCCACTCTGCCCACTAAGGAAGCAGCAGCTCAGAGAAGCAGATGTGCCCAAAGCACTCTGCTAGAAACCAGATTTTAAAAACCCAATCAGCCAAGTCCCAGGGCCTCCCTACTCTCACACGCTATGGTTGGCCCTGTCCATCCCTCCCAGCCCTCCAAGTCCACCTGCAGCGGAGGTGTCACTCATTCATTCCTTCATTCAATCATGGGCCCAGATGCCGGAGACACAGGGTTGAATCAGCTAGACATGTGAGCTGGCCTTATGGAGCTGGTAAGGAGCAAGGGGTCTACCACAAGTGGAGTCCAGTAAGTTAACAAGAGTGACCAGGGAGCCAGAGTGCTAGACAGAAGGCAGGAACCTGCCTGACAAGACCCAGCTTGCTGTGGGGCCCTGAAAAGGTTTTTTCCTCTTTCCTTGGCCTTTGGCTTCCCTACCAGCAAACGTTTCCTTGGTCAGTGACTGCAAAGGGAGCTCCCAAATGGGGCCAATGCTATAGCAGCCATGGAGCTAGCCTCCATTCCTCCCACGCATAGGCTAGACAAGACTCCAACATCAGAGAGGCAGAACCAGGCAGAACCAAAGGAGCCCTTCACCCATCCGGTGGTACCCTAGCTTGGCAGACCATGCATGGGGCACCTGGCAAGTATTACAAATCAGATTCCCCAGGGACAGGTGTTGGTTGCAATGTTAAAGATGCCATATCAGAGTTCAAGTCCCAGTTCCACCCCTGACCCCGGCTTCCTGTAAATGTGCTCCCCAGGAGGCAGCAGTGGATGACTCCAGTATTTGGCCCTCTGCCAGCCAGACCTGGATTGAGCTCTGGGCTCTGGGCTTCAGCCTGGGCCAGGCCTGGTTGATGCAGGGTTTTGAAGAGTGAACCACTGGGTGGAAGGTCTCTGTTTTTCAAATAAGATAAAATATATAATTTTTTAAACAAATTCTCAGGCCTCACCCCAAACCTAAGAACCTCTGAAGGCAGGATGGGGGGAGGGGAAAGGGCCTCAAGACTCCATTCTACAGATGGAGATACTGAGATCCAGGGGGAAGACCAGGGCAAGGACACCGGCCCCGGATCTGTCACTTTCCTATTTCTCCATCTCATTTGGTTATCAGAGAACTGGTCCAGCTGCTTCCCCACGTACAATGGAAGCTTCCACAGCACACGGCTCTCAGGTTTCTCCACGTCAAGTCTCAGTTCTGACTCTTGCCTTCAGTTGGAGTGTCTTCTCTCTTATTGGGCCTTCTCACACTTTTAAACCTGCTCCCCTATCTACTGTGAAACCCCCTCCCCTGCCAGGCTTCTCCCCCGTCCAAGCCCCTGGCTTGTGCAGATGCCCTTCATAGGGCTACTGGACATTGTACTAGCCCTCCATCTGCATAGGCTCCCGCCCAGGAGCCTCTTGAGAGCAGGAACTGTCTCAGGGAGACCCTCACTGCCCTTCCCTACATGGTCCCGGCCCAGAGGACTGTTCCTGACAAGAGCTCACCACCTAGAATGGAAAATCAAAACCATCCCAGTTCTTACCTTTCCTTGATCAAACAACCAGAAAAGATTTCACTTTTTAAAGTGCTCCTGGCCCCCTCCTAGCCCATGATGAACTTCAGGTCCACAGTTGCTACTTCAACACTCCCCAAGTCCCCTCAAAAGCAGGTAAAAGAGCTGAGCCAACCAACCTGAGAGCTTCTTAGCAGGAGAGGGAACCAAGTAAATCATGTGTCCCCAGGGCCTGGCCCACAGGAAGAAGTGGAGAAGGGGAGGATGCCCCTGAGGTCTGGTCATCAGTCCGATGTTTCAGAGAGACCAGGTGACACTGGGAATTTTCCCAAGGTGACATTGGAACTCTTGGCAAAACCTGCCTCCCATCCCAAGCCATTAGACCAGTCCAGCCCCAGGCGCTGCCTGAGCATCGACCTGGGTCCCCTCTCCTGCAGGAAGAAAGCTGGAAGCAGGAACAGGGCCTGCAGGTGGGCAGTGCCTACGTCATCGTCTATTCCATCGCAGACCGGCGCAGCTTTGAGAGCGCGTCTGAGCTCCGCATTCAGCTGCGGCGTGCGCACCAGGCTGACCACGTGCCCATCATCCTGGTCGGCAACAAAGCCGACCTGGCCCGCTGCCGGGAAGTCTCCGTGGAAGGTGAGTCCCACACGCCACTGGCTGTCCCAGCATCTCCTCCACGCCCTTCCCCTGGGAATGGCCTGCCCCTCCCCTGTCCAGCAGCCAATCCCTGCCCCATCTCTCAGCCGGCCTTCCTGTCCTGGAGTGGCATCCCCACCTTAACCTGGGCCAAGCCCTTCTCTATTCCCATTCAATCCGTCTTTTCGCCAATTGCCAGAATGTTCCAGAAGCAGGGCTGGCTTGTCGCTTCTCTGCTCAAAACGTCCCCTGTGGTTCCTTAATTACAAACACGTTATCCACCAGACATGATAAGCCCAACGCCCACAGTCTTGGCAAGCACTTCCATTTGAGAACTTGGAGGAAAAAAAATACTGCTCCAAATTACAATGGGAAAATTATGCATTCAGATTTCACAAAGTTGTATATAGGGTCAGCCAGCAAGTATAAGCCAGACTTTTAATGTTGTAGTAATAGGAAGGTGTACATTTTAATAAATTCAGCTCATCAGGTAGGGCTTGTGATGTTAAAATAGCCGCACTCAAGAGGTAAGATCTTAACAATGCGGACAATGGGGCTCGGAGAAGGAAAGCCAGCTCAGCGCCTCCAGCCATGATGGCTCATCACAGGCCCGGCCTCCCAGTCCAGTGGCAGCTTTTGGTAGATTTTGTTAAAATTTAGGTTACCAAGACCTCACCCCATGCATACCACTCTGAGTCCCCACGAGTGGGCCCAGGAATCTGCCTTTTTAATAAGCTATCTGAGGTCATTGCTAGCATGGATTAGAACACATGCGTACCTGGCATTTAACCTGGTCCCCACCTCGGCCCGGCTTCCCCGTCTTCCCTAGCTTCATTCTACTATCAGTATCAGTCACTGGTCTGTGAGCTAACTCCTGGGAGCCCAGTCTGATGCCTCTGAGCTCCCCGACACCTGCACAAAATAGAGGAGCAAGTGCCTCATTCAAACTCAATGCCCCTCTTCCTGCCTCTGTCTCTGCCTGCCCGAACCCGCCACCCACCCCGATCAGAGGGCCGCGCCTGTGCTGTGGTGTTCGACTGCAAGTTCATCGAGACGTCAGCCGCTTTGCAGCACAACGTGGCCGAGCTCTTCGAAGGCGTGGTACGCCAACTGCGCCTGCGCCGCCGCGACAGCACTGCCCAAGAGCCACCTGCGCCCCGCCGCCAGGCCAGCCTCGGACAGCGCGCTCGTCGCTTCCTGGCACGCCTGACGGCCCGCAGTGCCCGCCGCCGGGCGCTCAAGGCCCAGTCCAAGTCCTGCCACAACCTGGCGGTGCTGTGAGGCCTCCTTCTCTGCTGAAGTGGCTGGACACTGAGGTGCCATCTGGCCTCCACCAATGCCACCAAAGAGGAAAGAGTCGTCCCTCCTGGAGCCTGTGTCATGGGCCGCACAGAAGGCCTGGGCAGCTCCCAGAGCCAGAACCTTGGTGACTGTTCTGCCTCCGGAAGCCATGAACAGACTATGAGAACTAAGCTTCAAATGGGCATGAAGTGGGGTTTTGTACACGGTGAGGGTATTTCTGTAAGTTTTCTCTGTCGCTGGGCCCTGGCCAACCCTGGGAAACACTCACAATAAACCAGTCTGGCCGAATGCCCTGTCTGAACAAGCTGACCTCTCCTTACTGTGACTGCACTTCCTGACCCATCTTCAACTCTGGCTGCAAACCTGTTTAGCCTACGGCCTGGGTGTCATAGCCCATCCTTAGCTGGTTGGACCAGCTGCGCACTCGGCCACTTCTCCCAACCTGGGTGCAGTGCCTACCTGGGTCTTCGTGAGGCTAATTGGGTATGATGAGCTGTTGTCTTCTTGACCTTATTTATTTACTATTTGAAAGGAAGCATTAACAGAGAAGAACAGAGAGATCTTCCATCTTTTAGTTCATTCCCCAGATGGCCACAGAGACAGGGACAGGGCCAAGCCGAAGCCCATGGAACCAGAAGCTTCATCAAGCTCTTCTACCTGAGTGGCAGAGGTACACCTGCTTGAATCATCCTCTGCTGCTTTCCCAGGTGCATTAGCAGGGAGCTGGATCAGAAATGGAGCAGCCGGGACTTGAACCAGCACCCATGTGAGATGCCTTCTTAGCCCATTTTTTAGCATAGATTGGTAGAATTATAAAATGTTATCTGGAGCCACTCATCCTGGTGAAATGACAGCTTCTGCTTGTTGAAAACATAGGATATGTTAAACCATTGTGACTATTGTTCATCCTTACACATCCGTGAGGAGGGTGGTACTGTTCACCCTATCTTTCCGATTGGGAGACTAAAGCACGGACATCATGAGGCTTGTGGTCATGACTGTGGACACTGTGAGGGAGGGAATTCCAGCTCAGTCTGCGCCCAACAGCCTTTTTGAAATGCAGTTACGGAGAGAGATCTTCCATCTGCTGATTCACTCCACAACTGGCCACAATGCCCAGCAGGAGCTTCTTCTGGGTCTCACACATGGGTTCATGGCCCCAACCAGTTGGCCATCCTCCACTGCCCTCCCAGGTACATTCACAGGAAGCTGGATCAGATTTAGAACAGCTGAGATTTGAACTGCTTTCTCCCAAGTCCTCTTCAAGAATGTACCAGTGGACTTGATATTGCACTGCAGTGGCTTTGGCTGCCATGCTTGTGACTCCTGCATTTAGAACACCCATTTAGGTCTTTGCTGCTCTGCTTCCAATGCATCACCCTGCAAATGCAGCTGGCAAGGCAGCAGGTGGCGGTTCAAGCACTCAGGCCATGCCACTAATGATGGAGTTCCTTCATTCTGCTGCAGCTATCTGGGGAGTGATCAAGTGACTGTAAGATCTCTCCCTCTCTCAGATCCTCTCTATCTCTCTCTCTCTCTGACACTCTGCTTTTCAAATAAATAAACGTTTCTTTAAAAAACAAAAAAGGAATATGACAGAAGCTCTCCTGGTTCTTAGGAAAATGGACAAACACAATTTTGTATGCAATAAGGTGGGGTCAGCGCATGAACTCTATGAAAATCCATTCATCAATCCCTAGAACGGACCCAGTATAGTCCAGTTCACCCATTTTCCCAATGTGGAAACTACAGCCCAGAGAAGAGGAGTGTGCAACCCCAGGTCACCCAGCCAATGTGACCCAGCCTCTTTGGCCCTCCCTTCAGCCTTGCAGTGAGGGAAGAAAGAGTGAGCCGTCCAGCCTGGCTAGGGACATGAATGGGTGTTAGGGGTCAGGTCAGGAGTTTCCAGTCCAAGGGAAAGGGGTGTCAGGACTTGAAGAAGAGAACAAGCTGCGAGTGATTCGTTTTGGACCGTTGTGTCCCTGATGCTTGACACCCCTGCCCCCTACCAGCTGCTGGCGCAGATGCCTCAGCACCACACATGGGCCACTACGTCCCAGCCGCCCAGAGCTGATGCAGTAGTGAGAAAGATCCAAATCCCAGAACCATACGCTCCAGCAGCGACCTGTCCCATCCAGTCTGGCAGAGAGGGGGAAGGGGGCACACCAATGGCACAGATTCCCCATCCCAATTCCAGCCCCTGGAAGGAAGGAGGAGGAGGGTCTTCCCCCCAGCCCAGGCTGTCTCTGGCCTGTGGTCAGGGGGGAGGGGCTGGAGCTGTGGAAAGTTGGCAGAGACAGCCGGCAGCAGCCGGGAGAGTGGAAAAAATGATATCAAACCCGGAAAAATGCAGACCGGATGGAGGGCCGGAGTCAGCCCTGGGAGGTGAAGGGGGGAGGAGGGGAAGGAGGAGGTCGCTGCAGCCACAGGCTGAGAAAGGAGAGGGGCCCAGGGCGTCAGTGCAGGAGGCACCTTCAGAAAGCTGAAGACAACTGCTGCCCCCCCTTCCTGCTCCATCTGTGATTAGCTCCTGAGGGTGCGCTGGGTGCAGGGCCCAGGGCCAGGCTCTGGGGAGAGGCAGTAAGAAAAAAAGAGGAAGCCAGCAGCTCGGGTTCCCAAGAGGGACACCAGACTCGCCACCAAGTTATAAAATGTGTTCGGCTGACAACTCAGGGTGCCCCACGGCGGCTCTGGAGACACTTCAGTCCAATCCCTCTCAGCTCACCGATGGGCACTGTGCAGGCCAGGGAGGGAGCTTATCCCAGGCCATGCAGGACACGGAAGAAAGAGGTGAGGATAGTACTGGAAGGAAGAAAGGAGAAAGAAAGGAAACCAGGCAGGAAATGAGGAGAGCAAGCAGCCCTCGGGGCAAGAGAGAGGCGTGGACCTTGAACTAGGGCCCTCTCTGTCCAAACCCTCTCTCTCCCCTCACATCTCTGTGCTTTGATTTCCCCTCCTACAAGTAAATTCAAGTATGATGTCAGGATTAAATGATGTAAAAAGTGCTCAGAATTCTCCCTGTGCCTAGGCAGAGTCACTAAATGTTGGCTTAAGACGTTGTGGGACACAGGTTTGTGAAGGGTGAACTATGTCCAACCTAGGGGCACGTGCTAGGGAGTCGGCCCAGCAGTGAGCCTAGAGGACTCCAGGAAAACCCCTTTCCCTCTTAGGATTCAACTTCCCCACCTAGGCAATGAAGAGGCCAAATGGGAATGTGTGTGCTTGTATAACCACGTGTGTGATCTGTCTGCCCCGTGAAGGTTTCCTGAGACCAGGGCCCTCAGTACTGCTTTGGCCCCAGCACCTGCACCCATGCCTGGCTTATAACAGGTGCTCAGCAAACACTCTGTGAATGGATTCATTAACCAGCCTATCAACCCAATCTTTCTAACTCTAGATAGCCGTCAGCATAGCAAGTCCAGGAAAGCACATGAGAAAACCACAATTTGGGTTGGGAAGAGCTCACTGTACTTTGAAAAAGTCCCTTGTCATCCATAAAAACAAACAAAAAAAGGACCTTGTTTACATGCTTTCTGTATGTCACTGTGGTGCCCCATGCTGTAAGCTGGCCACACATTTTCTGCTTTTATCATCACCACAATTCTTGATCTAGGTACCACTTTGTAGGTGAGCATACTGAAAACCCAAGAACTGGGTCCAACTACACAGCAGGAAAAGGGACTGAGCATGCACACCAGACCAGCTGCCAAGAAGCAGGGAGGAAGTGCTACCTTGAGGCTGTGGCTGAGGAGACAGAGACCCAGAACAAGGAGATGAAGTGTCTAAGTCCAGATCCATGCAGTAACAGCAACCAGCGATTATGTTCCCCTTATCACACGCTGGGTTTTGTTCCAAGTGCTTAATCCTCCAAGTGTTTAGTCCTCAAAACTGGTGACAATTTCCAGAAGGAGGAACTAGCACAGAGTGGTACAAGACCCTGCCAAGATTGCACAGTGAGTAAATAGCAGAACCAGAATCTAGAGATGTCTAGTCCTGTCTATTGTGCCATTTCTTTATTGATACAACAAGCCCAGAGCGGGCTAGTGTAAAAGCAAGCAGTTGGGTACTGCTGTTGTGGTGCATCAGATTAAGCCATTGCATGTAATGTTGGCATCCCGTATGGGCACCAATGTGAGTCCAGCCACTCCACTTTCAACCCAGCTCCTTTATAATGCACCCTGGAAGGCAGCAGATGAGAAACCAAGTGCTTGGTCCCCTGTACCCTAAGTGGGAGACCCAGATGAAGCTCTAGGCTCCTGGCTTCAACCCAGTGCAGCCCCAGCTGTTGCAGCCATTGGGGGGGAAGGATCAGCAAATGGAAGATCTCTCTGTCTCTTTGTGTCTCCCTCTCTCTGTAACTCTGCTTTTCAAATAAATAGATATGAAATAGAGAAATAAATGGAGCACCTCTTTCTCCTGCAGCCTGGGCTGGAGACAGACTCAAGAATGAAGACACTGAGCGTGTCCTCAAATTGCCAGCTGGGACTTTCCACCTTGAAGGAAGGATCCTGTTATGGAAAAAATGATAAAGCTCTGGAAAGATGAATGTCTCCCTAGGGGCCCCCGAGTCTCCTCACAGTCCCCCCTCTTGCTGTAGGGGAGGGCCACAAACTGTGCCTGCCTGCTGGAGCAGAGGAGACGGAGGCCACCTGGAACGGGAGACAGCCAGTGGGCTGCTGTGAACATTGGGGCCCACTGGCCTAGCAAGGGAGTTGCTGTTTCTCAGCCAGGGGGCTTGAAGCTTCTGCTTTGTGCGATGCCGACTAGGAGTCAGGGTGGGGCCAGAGAGCCCTGTCCTCAGATGGGAGGACGTACGAGGGTCTGGAATTACAAGGGAAGGTCTCAGGGTCTGCGGCCTCCTTGCTTCCCTGGGCAGATACGGGCAAGACCGTGCACTCTGGAGGAGGGCAGGGAGTGCAGCGGGCACAGCTGCCACCTCTGCCACGTCCACATCCCGGGGCTGGCAGAGAAGAGCAGGGAAAGGTAGGAGTGAGAGTCCAGGAAAACTCATGCACAGCTGCCTCGTAAAGATAAAGAATCTCCCCGCTCTGTTTAGGACCACACGATCCCAGACAAATCAAAACACACAGAGCAGAAAGGGCTAAGCCAGAAATCTCTGTGATGGCCTCTGCCTCAAGGATTGTTTGAATATTCTAGTTCAGCAACTTGAAAAAATATACAAGTTAGTTTCAACGTGAGCATGATTCCTTTCCGTTCAGTTCAGGGTTCAGTTAAAAATAATACTAATGACAGGGTTGGAAGCTCTGGGTTCAGAATGTATGTGGTTTTCCCCAGTTCCATCTGGTTCAAGTTCAAGGCTAGAGTGTGTGTGTGTGTGTGTGTGTGTGTGTGTGTGTGTGTGTGTGTGTGTGTAGCTACATTT